AAACCAGAGCCTCGTCTGCTCTGATTGGTTAGCTGGACAGCTCTGTTGTGATTGGTCAAACCATCAGATATGTCCTGCCCTTCAGCCAATCACGTACAATGTATTGGAGCGCCGAGGGGCTTCAGGCAAGGGGACTGTGTGTGTGGGAGAGAAACTCCCTCTGGCCTTTGCAGACCATGTACATGCACAGAAAGCTATTGAACAGAGGAAAAGAAAAACCCTTAAAGAAGCTTGAACTACTCTGAGGTCTCTGAAATACTGTTCACAGGTTACCATGAGATAAAACCAAGGCACAGCCCTTCAATCTGGAAATGTATTTATTCTGCTTCTGGGTTTGTAAAGCAGAAGCGAAGCACAGCAAGCATTCACAGCAGGATCTACACTTACATTAGCAAGCCCCCCCCCGCTTGCCAGACAGGAGTTATATTCTCATGTTCCAGTATTGAACTGAATTTAGACCTAACCAAGTTAAAAGGCAAGAAAGCCAATAAAGCTCCTTTTTATCAAGGAAAACATTAAAAAGCCAAAACAGTGCGCTGTGTGAACATGGTCATGATTTCCACAAACAGAAACCTTTATATCTATTTAAAGATTATACAAATACTTCCAAGGAAAGAAAAACAACATAAAACCAAGTTTGGGGCGAACAAAGATCGCTATCGTCTTCTGGATCGGAGTGCAGTGCCCCGCCTTTTTCTTCAGTGTAGCTTAGCATGGAGACAGAACACGAGCACAGCATCAAACATCACCTGCACAGAAACTCGTACTCTATAGAAAAACTTGTTGGCCAAAAGAATGCTTCACAACGTAACAACACAGTCCACCTCTGAATGCAGCTCTACAGACGAATGAAGCGTACTATTTAGCATTGATAAACGCTGAGCTGATGCTTTGTTCCTACATCTCCACTTCAAATCAAACGGACACAGATGAAATGTCATCAGGTAAAAACTCAGGACTGGAAGGATCTAAACTAAAAACAGCACACAGGTTACGTGTGTGTGTGTGTGTGTGTGTGTGTGTGTGTGTGTGTGTGTGTGTGTGTGTGTGTGTGTGTGTGTGTGTGTGTGTGTGTGTGTGTGTGTGTGATACACTTCTGTAGCTTACAAAGGAAAACAGCAACACTGGGCCTCAGCCGGTACATACTACACATTAGTACTTTTCTTAAATTAACAATAGAGAAGCTTAGAGACTATCATAATCTTTCTTGTCCTTTTTGCCCTCGCCCTCGAAGCTGTCCGTGCCCTCACTGTTGTCATGGCGACGCTTGCGGCTGTTGCGGACGTTGAAGCGGGGGTTAACCTGCGGCAGGGGGTCCATGCCCAAAACTTTATAGACCTGACGGAAAGCCAGGAGCCTCAGAGCAAACTGTGGGGAAGATAAAGCAGATTTCATATTTAAACTCATCTCCATTTCATGTGAAGCCTGACAGCAAATCAATCCCTCCTGCTTAAAACAGCTGTTCAACATCAGCTGGATGGGGGGGGGGGGGGTCTGTACCTGGGCACTGGAGGTGATGTCCTCTCTCTGTTGTTCTCCCATAGTGGTGAGGGTGTCCACAGTCCTCTTCTCACACGGATCTGCCAGTCCTGGTCCACCTGTTGAAGTCATTCAACTACATTTAGTGGAGTTTCATGTATGACTTCGATGAAGATATGAGTCCAAGTCCATTTAGCAGTTCTGAATGCGTAAGATAATAAAGAATCTTACCAGGGAGTAAAATCCCAGAGGAAATACATTCAAAGACACGCCTCAGAGCGTCGCCCGGGCTGAGGGGGGCGGAGGCGCTGCTGATGGCCTTCTCTACCAGTAGCTCCATGGCCTGAACAGAGAACATGGCTTAGAGGACTGTATACACACAAGCACTATCACAACAGGTTCTATTTCACAGCCTCTTGCACTACATATCCATAACATGAAGCACGGGAGGTAGGCATCATACTCCGACAAACTGATGTGGAGAAAGGTGTTTGCCGGCAGTACGATGCTTATACCTCAACTCTGCAGCCATTGATCGTTAAGCTAGCCATTTATATGAAACTGAAATATGGGGACTAGCTGTGACGGAGGGTGTTCATGTGCTGATCCATCAATTGGAGGGTCAGTTGATCAATCCAAGGAGTCAACATGTCAAGTGTCCTTGGGCAAGATACTTTGCAAACACCCAAAATTGCTCCGGTCGCTATTAAAAGAAAATTGTCTGCAAAAATACAATTGTGTGCAAAACTGTTGAGTTTAATGTGACATCGCTTTGTACTCTTGTGATGAAGTAGATACTTTGCCAGTAGCCTAACTCAAAGCGGTGTAAAATGCTCAGGAACTTATACAGTGTGAGGTCTCTCTTTTCCTCTCGTAAGGGCCTGGAGGCTTTACCAATCTCTGTGGGGGATAAGACGGGCCCTTGGTGGCTCTGGGCTTCAGCCACAGCTGTGTCTTAGATATGATGAGAAAACAATCTTTCCTTCAGGCAATAACAGGACAGGTTGACCCTTGCAGCGTCTTGTGGATTAGGAGTGGTAACGTATCAGGGACAAGGGGAGAGCACTTCAGAGATGCTTTGGGCTGAGACTATCACTACGGTGTCTCAGCAATGTCAACTCTCCGGCTGTAACTTTAATAAATCTTCGGTGTCTGTTAGACATCAGTTCAAAGCTCTCTGGTTAATTATTCTCCAGCCTTCAGATCTTAATCTCAGAGTACTCGTTTAGAATGAAACCCAAATATGTTTCTTTCAACTCATCTCTGGTTGGGGACAGCCCAAAGTCACAGTGCTTGGAGGCCTTTAAATACTTCATGAAATATGTTGCAGCAGGCTCTGAAGATCCACTTACCCATCCGGGGAAGGGCGACCAGGTGGGGACTCGCTGACAGAGGTCTCTCAGGAGCCGGATGACGATCACACAGGACTGAAGTCCGTTTGCTCTAGCCTTTTGATGCAATACAGTTAGGTTTACGCAGTGACAACAGTGACAAGAGATGGAGCAAACAGGAGAATCAGTTCTGTCTCAGAGGTCCAAACACTACTGTGCATAATGGAAGCTTGAGTATGGTTTGAAGTGAGTATGAGCCATAAGAGCTTGCAATCAGCTGCCATTCCCAGTAGTCTTGTACCTCACAGTTAGTAAGGGAGTTCAAAGTTTGCAAGATGCACAAGAAATGAGAACTTGTCATCTTCTAAACCCTGACCCCAGGTTTATCCAGGTATCTCACAAACAGGTACTTCAAAGTACAAGAGTTGACCTGAAGGAGAGGATAGGGACTGACAGAGCGGAGGAAATCTGCGTTACTTTGCCCGTGATTTTGCTCAGGCAGCAGAATCACAGGAAACTACTCAGATGTTCCTTTTTCTCTCAATCCCTATTCTACAAAAATATATATAGAATAAAAAACAATACAAACGTTGAACATGAAAGCACTTCTTGATGGCACAACTCTGTGCAAGTTATTGTGCAGCCTTATGGAGTCACATGTCGCTATAATGCAGTATTTGGAAAATTGAAAAGGGCATACAAGGATGCCCGTTGTTTGTTTCATACGAGTTTCAAATGAACTTGGATTTATAATCAACACTTATGGACATTAACCAAATATTTGTTGTTATGATATGTGGCATCCTTGAATATTGTTTTGCTTCAAATAGTAGTCTTTTTTGTTGTTGTCATTACTATAAAATGAAAACCAAATGAGTAAACACAAATAAATGAATAAACAAAGAAATAATGCATCTCATAAGGCTACAATAAGAAAGTAAAATGATGTTCCGAACCTGGAACCACTTAGCGTGGCGCAGAGCAGCCAGAGCGTCAAGGCATTTTTGCCTGTCCAAGACGTCCGCTGGGTCTTTCACCATACCCGAGGTTACATCTAAAAATGGATTTGAAGTGTCAAAATGGTGATGAGGAATGGGTGTTTGACCAGGTCAGCGAGGCTGGCAGAGAACAAACACATTGCCACACATACCAATGTCTGTTCACAAGCTACAGTCGGTTGCTTATTCTTTTTCATTTAAAACATGAAAATCTGACTACACAAAAAAACACACATATTGTTAAGTCATTCTTTTCTGCAAACTGGGAATTTATTTAGTGACCGTTTGGTTAGCATCTCGCTAAATTAGGTGGCTCAAATATGTTTTGAAGCCGTTTCCATTTGATCAGGTAATTGTATCTAAAATGATTGCCTTAGTTTAAAAGTCAATAAATCATTGAAACGTCTTGGTTCTAGCACTGGGACAGGAGGGGCTCCACGGCTAGTGGTGATTAGTGTGAACTGACAGAATCAAAAAGGCAAGGCTAACAGGTGCTGACCTGATCAAAAGTGGCATGGCAAAAGTAGGTGTGGCAACGTTTTTGTGATGTGAGAAAACCTTGGTCAAAAATCCTTCCGAAGCTGTTGGGCACTACTTATCCTCTGATGGGAGACATTTGTCTTTTTTTTTTTATTCATGGAAGAGTAAAGAGGTCTTTGTGCTGGACTGGCTGGTAAATAGTTCTATGAATACAGAGAGGAAAAGCAATGGGTGCTGAAGAAGAGAAAAAAACATGAGAACTACCAGCAAACAAAAGGGGTTAGGATATCACTGCATGCATACCTAACATCAGGAGGCTGGAATAAGACCCCAACAATCATCGTATAGCAAAGATTCCTCTGTCATAGCCTTCTGTACCTGAACTTTTAACAATACTCCCCTAAGAATTCTTTCAAATTAAATTCAAAACTAAATCTTCATCGTGTCAATTAATTCCAAAAGAAAATGTGGTCCATCTTCAAATTATTTGTCCTAATCTTTCCATTGTCAACTAAATTAAAAAGGACAACAGTTGTCAAAGGCTTTCATTTTGGAATCCTATGTGAGGAAGATGTCAATGAACTCAGGGGAGCACTTCAGAACAGGGGCCCTCAGCATGGGGAGCTGCTGTTCACCAGTACACAAAGGGAGGATTTGTTTCCTGTGGGAAAATAACATCCAATTTCCTCTGCCAAATCTTGATTTGAGAAAAGGGTTGTGAAATTGCACAATTCATTTCAAATTAAACTTGAGGGACAAAAGTACCTCTGTTGTCTAATCTTCAGCAGGATTTGTTTTGTCGCCTCATCTCAAAGGACATTTGGAAAAAAGATACTGTAATGTATGTCTCCCATTGATTATAGCAACAATAAGATAGAAACAGAATCCCCTGGAACACAGGAAACAAAATAGAATCTCACCTGGGATTAACTAGACTTAACACAATGCAAACACTGGTCATGCTTTGTTTAAAGGATAAAGATAGCCTCTGAGAGGTAAGAGCAAAAAGCCTAAGAGCAACACTGCTGGCACTTGCCTCCTTCATCTTGTTTTCATTTCATACTATCTGCCACATGTGATAAGAAAGAGCATTGATTAAAAGAAAAATAACTAACGTTTGGGGTCTCTTATGGGCTGCCCCTATCTATACCAGTCTGATGGTCTCAGTTGTTTAGTGGTATTAAAATGAAGTGTGTGCAGGCTGTAGACTGCACAGCAAACACTAAAGCTAATGTGATGAGCTTGTGCTTCCTTGGTTGGTTGCCCTGTCATTCATTTCTGAAATGCAAAATGAATCATGTATGAAGAGCAAGTTGCCAGGAGGATCTGACTTAAAAGCCCAACAGAAATGTGGAGTGCCAGCAGGACAGCACTCTTCAGGGTGTCGACAAACATATTGAAACTGATTTCATAGAAAGATAGCAGAAAGACAGGAAAGGAGGTGCAATGGGAAAGGCTGTGATGGGTGTCCCAACCTCCATCCCGACCGGGCTCCTCTCGGATCAGAGGGGACGTCAGTGTGATCGTCACCGTCATCTTTGGCTCCGTGCAGGATGTCAGGATGATTGCTGCTTCCTGGTTGGATCCGCTGACCTCATATTTTTCAGGTGTAACGATCTGAAAGAAATAGAGTAAGTGCAAATATGCCAACATTAATTCAGAAGTCCACTGTACATACAAGTTACATATGATTTCATATAAGTCAGTGGCTACATTTATAGGTACAGTTGTTAGCACAGGTGGACTGCTCACTGGAACCATGGGATTCAGTTACTGTTGAAACATGATGTGTGAGTTATGCAACCAGGTCATGTGGTAGAGATATCTTAAAGTGGACCTATCATGCTATATTTGAATAATATAGTGTAGGACCATACCTATATAAGGCATATTTATACTTTTTATTTTTCAAAATACCAAACAGATCATGCATTTTAGCCATTCCTCATTTCGCTCAATTTAACACTGTCTTTGCATGGGCTGATTCTGTGAGAACAGCACCATCTACAGGCCTGGCATATGTACTACAGCGTCTCCAGCGCTTTCGAACGGCAATGTCCGTGGCTGTCTCCTCCTGATTGGTGGAGTTGGCCCAATAGCCGTAGCGCCACTTCTGTGACGTCATAGAAGTGTTCAAATCTGGATCAGTCTGTATCGGATCCATTGCAGCCCCTTTTTAAGAGATTTGGGTATGGAGGAAAATAGAGAGGGTTGTGTTTTCTGACACTTGGTGAGTTCCCTGGAACACCGGGTACACATATTCATGTATAAAAGACGTACAAAAGTGCATTTTGCATGATAGGTCCACTTTAAATGGCATTCCCCTCACGTAGCTAAAGGAATAGGGACAGTACAAATGGCCTTTCAGTCCTCCTGTAAAAAAGTCCTTACGGTCAGTTGCATCTATCTGGGTTATAAATACACAGCTTCCTCTCTCACCTTTAAAAGAAAACTTTCCACTTCACCGTCTTACTCCTTTCCCTCTCCGACCTCTCTATTATTCGCATTTCCCCTCGCTCTCTTGGCTCGCTGCTGTTTTGGTTATCAATGATTGCCTCAAATACCTTCCTCCCCCTCTCCATCACGAGGGCGGAGATGTTGTCATGCGCAGGGCGTTGCACCTCTGACTTCATATCGCTTTCCATCAGCAGGAAGTGCAGCAGGAAGCACCTTTTTCTCACGCCTTCACACAGAGTCAGGTGGGATACGAGGGACTCACTTTCATCCTGAGCCCATGGATACTTTTTCTTTAAATCCATGGCCGCCCGATGAAATATGAATCAAAAACAGTGCTCCTGGCTTATGCTCGCCTTGAAAGAAGCTTTAACTCAATTTAAAGTCTCAAAAGGGCGAGGAGCTGCTAGCTGCCCTGCATGGCAGTGTTTGGATATGATATCAGGGTGTAAATCATGGATTTTCAGGACAAGCAACAAACTACACAACCTTTATTGTTTTGTTTTGTTTCATTTCTACAATATACGCCATGTCCTTACAGAGGTTTTATTTCTAGGGCTTTTTTCTCTGGAACCTACTCTTGTTGATACGTGAGGTGTGCAAACCAGGGTGTTGGACGGGTTCGTACCATAGTGTATCTGCCAAAACCAGAAAGCTTTCCATAACATTAAAAGCTTAATCATAGCATAATAAATACTGTATTTGCCGATATGTGCAGATATTGTATTTATACGTATAAAAACAGTAGCACTGAAAATGTAAAAGGTTGTTTTTAACTTTTTATGTGTATTGCTTCTATGTCATTATCAGTTATGATGGTCATTGTATTAGCTCCTATGATGTAATTTACAAATAAGTCTGCATAGCCAGCTCATCGTAGCTCACCCTCATCATATAGTGGTTAGTACTCTACGTTGTGGTTGCAGTAACCCTGGTTCAAAGCCGGGACACAGCATTGTGGTACAATGTCAGGGCAGATGGGCAGTATTTGGGGTGGCAGTAGCTAGGGCTGCTCGATTATGGCAAAAAATCATAATCTCGATTATTTGGGTCAATAATTGATATCACGATTATTAAAAAGCGATTATCCATTTACTTTGAAAACATCCATTTATTGAAAAAAAAAGTTTGAAAAGTATGTTTTTAACAGTTGATTAACCTGAACTTTAAGTATAATATAAATGAAAAACCAATAAAAAAAAAATTATTAAAAAATAAATAATCGTTTTATTTTGATTATGTTGTTTTCATTATCGTTGCAAGCCAAAATCGTAATTGCGATTAAAATACGACTAATTGAGCAGCCCTTGTTCAATCTGTAGGGTTGCTGGTTCGAATCCAGATTGGACCAAAGGGATACAGACGTGCCAAATGGAGAGGTGACAGTTTACCTTCCTGGGCACTGCTGAACTGCCCTTGAGCAAGGCACTGAACCCCCAACCGCTCCATGTCACCAGAAAACATGGCAGCCTCTTCGCTCTGGCACCTCTCCATAAAAAGCATCTATGCATGTGTTCAGAAGTTAATTTGAAAAACTGAATTCTAGGGAATAATAAAGGGTGATCTTCCATCTTCTTTTTACAATATAGGACGTTACAAACTAGGATGGACTGAATATATTTGGAAAAGTAATCCATAAATAATGTGATGGTAGTGATTAATCGTTTTCCAAATCGCTTGTATTGTGTGAAATCATTATACTTGTATCATAAACACTTTTCATTCATCTCCTTGTCTCAGTTTATTCTAGTGCTGGTATTTTCTACACGTTAATATTCATGCGCTGTGTTTCACACTTTACATGCTTCTCGTTGATGCTCAAGTGTCCTTTCACAAACTGTGGGTGGTGTTATATTTAATACCCTTCATTTGCAGGTCTTATTTATGCTCTCTTTTCCTCTGCTGGATACTAATATAATTTGTTGCTGCAGTGTCTCAATTAAAGTTCCACGTGTCGTATATCTAAAAGGAGATTACCTGGATGCTGTGCGGTTTCCTCCGCTGTCTTAAAGGTCCCCTATGATACTGTTTTTCATCAATATATCATAGGTCTCAGATATATACAGAACATGTCTCTGATTGGCTCCAAACACCAAACAGATCATTGCAGCATTACCCATAATCCCCTCTGTTTCAGCCCTGTTTCCAAAGTGCTGATTCTCTGTCTGTTACTTTAGCTGAAAATAAGGAGCCCCTCTCCACGCCCCTCTGAGAGAGATTTGGTTACAAAGAACTAAATGGTGCTCTAGGAGGATATTCAGGTGATAAGGTGGGGGGGGGTTACCTTGGTTGCTGATTGGCTAATGGTCACACAAGCCACAACATCGTTATGACATCATAAAGTGGCCAAAATCTGATCAGCTCATTTTCAGACAGGTTTTTATATAAATGGATCAGGACAAAAAGAGAGAGAATCTTTGTTCCTGAAACTTTCAGATTCTCTTTCCACATAGGGGACACATGTTGATGTAGAAGAGACAAGGACAAGAGGGGACACATGTTGATGTAGAAGAGACATGAAGAAGAGGGGACACATGTTGATGTAGAAGAGACATGAAGAAGAGGGGACACATGTTGATGTAGAAGAGACATGAAGAAGAGGGGACACATGTTGATGTAGAAGA